TCCTCCCGCCCCCAGCCGCGGACCCGCACTGCCTCCCGGCCCAGGAGCGCTCGGTCCAACCCAACTTTCCAAAGTCTTTGTAGCTAAATGCACGGCGGGCGTAGCTGCTTCTCCCGGGTTTTATTTGAGAAGAACCCAGCGAGGCCGCTTAGCAACTGCGCTGCTCAGACTTCATCAGGGACCAGGGATGACGCAGCTGACGTGGCTTGGATAGCAAAGCCATCTTATTCTTTTATTTTTCTAAACAGATTTTCATTGATTTCAGAGAGGAAGGGAGAGGGAGCGAGAGAGAGAGAGAGAGAGAGAGAGAAACATCAATGATGAGAGAGAATCACTGATCAGCTGCCTCCTGCACGCCCCCTACTGGGGATAGTGCCGGAAACCCAGGCATGTGCCCCTGACCAGAATGGAACCTGGGACCCTTCAGTCTGCAGGCCGACGCTCTAGCCACTGAGCCAAACCAGCCAGGGCAAGCAATCTTATTCTTAAAGACTTGATTTTTGTCATAAACAAGTGGATTTGAATCATATCAAACCAATATACATTTTTGAAAGAAATGTCTCTTCATGTCTACTAATGCAATTCTACCTTAAAGCTTATGTGGTCTAATATTAATATATACCTTGCTAATAAGCAAAATTCAGCCCTAGCTAGTTTGACTCAGTGGAGGGCGCATCAGCTCCTAGGTGCGTGCAGCAGGCAATCAATCGGTGTGTTTCTCTCTGTCACTCCCCCGTCTCTTCCACTCTCTCTAAACATCAATGAAAAAATATCCTAAGGTGAGGATTAACAACAACAACAACACACACACACACACACACACACACACACAAAACAAATAAACAAAATCCAACCGACTAAATTTGAAGATCTAATTGGCTTTATTAATTGATTCATGAATAGGGCAGCATCCAGGTAGCAACTAAAAAGAAAGTTGTAAAAATGAAAAGTTTTTTTTTTAAATATATTTTATTGATTTCTCACAGAGAGGAAGGGAGAGAGACAGAGAGTTAGAAACATCGATGAGAGAGAAACATCGATCAGCTGCCTCCTGCACATCTCCCACTGGGGATGTGCCCGCAACCCAGGTACATGCCCTTGACCGGAATCGAACCTGGGACCCCCCAGTCCGCAAGCCGACGCTCTATCCACTGAGCCAAACCGGTTTCGGCAAAATGAAAAGTTTTTATAGGCAAAAAGAGGGCGGTACGAAGAAATTATATAACAGGGTATCCTGTATCATAAATGCCTAATATGCTAAGTGGCCAGCTGTTCAACCAATAAAAGTGTAAAATGCTAATAATATGCTAAAGGCCGCTCAACTGCTCACTATGACATGCACTGATCACCAGGGGCAGACGCTCTGACTGGTAGGTTAGCTTGTTGCTGGGGTCCTGCCGGATGAGCCAGAGGGACAGCTGAGCGAGACAGGCCGGACCTACCCTGGAGCCCTCCTGCATCTCTCCCTGGTCCAGATCGTGCACCGGTGGGGTCCCTTGGCCTGGTCTGTGCCCTCTCACAATCCAGGACCCCTCAGGGGGATGTCGGAGAGCCAGTTTCGGCCCGATCCCACAGGGGGAGCGCTGCTCAGCCAGAAACCGGGCTCATGGCTGGCGAGCGCAGCAGCTCCCCTGGGGGAAGCCGGCCTAAGCAGTCAGTCAGACATCCTCTGAGGGCTCCTGGACTGCAGGAGGGTGCACCGGGCCTTTAGTAGGACATAAAACAAACAAACAACCTCACATGCTGTAGCTGATTTGACTCAGTGGATAGAGTGTCGGCCTGCAGACTGAAGGGTCCCAGGTTCGATTCCGGCCAAGGGCACATGCCTGGGATGTGGGCTTGATCCCCAGTAGGGAGTGTGCAGGAGGAGCTGATCAATGATTCTCTCTCAACATTGATGTTTCTATCTCCCTCTCCCTTCCTCTCTGAAATCAGTAAGTATATGTGTATGTGTGTGTGTGTGTG